TCATGCGGTGTGCATGCCAGAAGCAGCTGCCAGAAGCAGGCCCAGGGTGGACACGGACCCTCCCCCACGGATCCGTGTCAGGAGGGGCGGGAGGACACAGGATGGGTCACCCGCACCCCTCGCGCCTGGGCTCCGGGCACAGGCGCAGCCTAGATTCTCACAGAAGCAGCTCAGCCCCCAGCCTAGCCCAGCGCCCGTCCTGGAGCCTTCATAGCCCAGGCACGCGGGACTGCCCACCCAGAAGGCAGGCGGCCGATGCGGAGCCGGGAGGTCGGCTCTCGCGGAGGTTCCCACGAGCCGCTAGTTGGGTTTTGTGGCCTTGCCCTGTGACCAAGGCCCCTGGGAAGCCTCCAGTCCCCAGTGCTTTCCCCTCCTGTGGTCACAGAAGGACCTGAGGTCTGTTCCTGTCAGATCAGAGAAGCACAGCGTGACGGTGCCTGTGCTGGAGGAGCCACCCCGAGTGTGTCCATGTGTGTGTCTGTGTGTGTCTGTGTCTGTGTGTGTGTCCACGTGTGTGTCCGTGTGTGTCCATGTGTGTGTCTGTGTGTGTCCATGTCTGTGTGTGTGTCCACGTGTGTGTCCGTGTGTGTCCACGTGTGTGTCTGTGTGTGTCTGTGTGTGTGTCCACGTGTGTGTCCAGTGTGTGTCCATGTGTGTGTCCGTGTGTGTCCACGTGTGTGTCTGTGTGTGTCTGTGTCTGTGTGTGTGTGTCCACATGTGTGTGTCCACATGTGTGTCCATGTGTGTCCACGTGTGTGTCTGTGTGTGTCTGTGTGTGTGTGTCCACGTGTGTGTCCAGTGTGTGTCCATGTGTGTGTCTGTGTGTGTGTCCACGTGTGTGTCCATGTGTGTGTCCATGTGTGTGTCTGTGTGTGTCTATGTGTCTGTGTGTGTGTCCACGTGTGTGTCCGTGTGTGTGTCTGTGTGTGTGTCTGTGTTTGTGTCCATGTGTGTGTCCGTGTGTGTGTCTATGTGTCTGTGTGTGTGTCCACGTGTGTGTCCGTGTGTGTGTCTGTGTGTGTCTGTGTCTGTGTGTGTGTCCACGTGTGTGTCCGTGTGTGTGTGTCTATGTGTCTGTGTGTGTGTCCGTGTGTGTGTCTGTTGTGTCTGTGTCTGTGTGTGTGTCCACGTGTGTGTCTGTGTGTGTCTGTGTCTATATGTGTGTGTCCACGTGTGTGTCCGTGTGTCCATGTGTGTGTCTGTGTGTGTCTATGTGTCTGTGTGTGTGTCCACGTGTGTGTCCGTGTGTGTCTATGTGTCTGTGTGTGTGTCCACGTGTGTGTCCATGTATATATCTGTGTGTCCACGTGTGTGTCTGTATGTATCTGTGTGTGTCTACGTGTATCTGTGATACCTATCTTTGTGTGTTCATCTATGTGTACATTTGTGTCTCTGTGTATCTGTGTGTTTGTGTGTCTATGTATTAATGTGTGTCTATGTGTATATGTGTCTCTGTGTCTATGTATATCTATGTGTGTGTGTGTCCATGTGTATGTCTGTGTATCTGTATGTATCTATTTGTGTGCCCACGTGTGTGTACCCATGTATATCTGTGTGTGTCTATGTGTGTGTGGTATGTGTATCTCTGTATGTGCATCTATGTGTCTGTCTGTCTGTGTGTATCTATGTGTGTGTGTATCTGTGTATTTGTGTGTCTATCTATCTCTGGGTGTCTATCTACAAGTGTTGGTGTCTATGTGTCCGTGTGTCTGTTTGGGTCTCTTCCATGAGGGCTTCCTCTGGACCAGGTACAGGGCCAGGACCTTCTGATGCCCATACCTGACCAGCTTCAGGAGAGGCCCTGATGGTCCCCCTGCCTTCCTGGGCTTAGGAGGATGGTGTGTGGGCACCCACTGCTCTACCCGGTTGGTCCTCAGGTCCTGGCCGGACTGGTCACCAGGGCAGTGTCTTTTCCCTGAACTCAGGAGCACATGAAGCCCTCTCCACATGGTCAGAGAATGATTGTGAAGTCCAAGGAAGTGGAGGAGGAACCCCAAGTCCACCCAAGCCTCCCCTGAGGCCAGAGCTCTGGAGAAGGCCGACCATGGACGCCTCTGAAACATGAGCCAAAAGACACTTCCTCTGTCAGGTGGTTCTCGTGGGTGTTTCAGACACAGCAAAGGGCTGACTCACACCCAATTCAGCCACTTCACATTGTGTAATGTGTCAAAATGTCACTCTCTTCCCCATAAACATGCACGAGTATTAAGTCAATTTTAAAAATTAAAGATAATTAGATTTTAAAGTCTTCTCATCAATGACAGTGATCGCTGAGGCCAGTGAGATTTTGTTTTCAACATACTAATAGAAATCAGTGTCAATCACATCTTCTACCCGGAGCTAAAGTAATCAAGAGTCAGGTAAAGTTGAATTCAGACCAAGAGCAAGAGCTTGCCATCACTGGAAGAACATGACAAGTAGCCAGTGTCAGAGGATCACGAGAAACAGGTCAGTGGTCATGGTGTGAGTCCAGGCAACCACTGGCTGCTTAGGAAGTGTCAGAGTAGGGTGTCACCAACAGCACAGGACACCAACGTCTGGCAGCGCCACAGACCAAGGGCCTGCTAGAATCCACCTGGAAGCACAGAAGTGCTGTGCCCATATGTAGAAGAGCTGTTTCAACCCCCTCTGACCTGTCAGGAGGGCGGGGCGACCCTGGAAGCCAGGCTGCCCCCAGGGAACTCTGGTGGTGACTGCAGGAGCGCAGCCCCTCCTGGGCACAGGAGCTCTGCGGATGTTGAGAGCATCAGAGGAGACCTCAGAGGAAGGCACCGTGGAGACACCTGTGTGCGCACACGAGCTCACCTGATGTCACAGGCTAACACGCGTGCACCTAGGGACGTGGTTTTAAGAGTATGTCATGGCAGAGGAAAGGCCAGCCTGTCCAGTGAGCCTGTCCAGGGGAAGCAGGTTGACACCTAACAGAGGGAGAAAGTAAACGGATTCTACCTCAGTTCACATAAAAACCAGTTCCAGATGGACCCCGGGCTCCACGGTAAGGTAGGCGTTTATAAGGCTTTAAAAGTCAGATTGGTCTGGACCGATTGAGAAGACAATGTGTGAGGCTGAGGGATATGGGGACATGTGTCCTGTATCACTGGAACGCTGGGGACTGTGTTTCCAGCATTGTCCCATGGCCCCCGTGGAAAAAGACAAAACACGATGACACAAGAGGGGGAGGTCGCGGCTCCAGCCTGTCCAGTCACCTGCTGTGGAGTGGCTCGACAGGAGACCCCTGCCCGCCTGGGGAAGCCCTGGAGGGGCTCCTGCCCAGGCACGAGCCAGAGTGGGCAAGATGGCTCACCAGGCAGGTGTCACAGCTCCACCCCAACCCCTGGCGCTGGGAGCTTAGGGACACCAGTCATGACACATTTAGGCAGTGGTGCCCCCTGTGGCTGCAGAGGGGTGAGCCCTGGGCACACACGGTACTGGGGCCTCAGGCCGTCACACTAGGGTGGGTGGGATTCCTCCCACACTGAGTGCAAAGCCCGCGGCTCCTGCAGGGTCTCCCCTGGGGTCCTTTCCAGTGTGGACAGTGATTTTCAAGCCAGAGCTGGAAACACAGAATTCAGAATTCATTTCCCTCGGGACGGAAGAGGGATGTGGCTGGGAACTCCCGGCATTCGACCATCTCAGGCTGAGTGTAGATGCTCAGGTACTCCAGGGGGCTCCGGGGGAGCTGGTGTGCTCCAGGAGCAGGAAACCGGTCAGAGGCTGCAGGTGGCCTGGACACGCAGAATGAGCCTCAGGCACTGGACCCCTCTGCCCACGGCCCCTTGACCAGAAGCGGGAGGCCATTTCAAGAGCTGCAGGGCAGCGGGTGACTAGTTCAGAGGTGCTGCAGGTCCCAGGGACCCGTGCGAACCACGAGGACACTGAACTTCACACTGGAGGTGGCTGTGTCACAAACCCTGTCCCCAGCCATCCCTGCGGCCCAACTGTTTAAAAGGACACGGGGGCGGGGGGGGGGCACGGTGGCCTTGTGTGGACGAGTCCTGTGACGAGCTCCTCCTGCAGACCCTCACCCACGCCTGCCAGCATCCTGCACACTGCCACCCACCCCCAGCAGAGCCCTGCCCCTCACCATTGCACAGCTCACTCAGCAGAGACTGGAGCAGGGTCCCCCTCCTCATTATCTCTCCCATCCCACTCCCCCAGATTCCTCATCTGACTGCTGCTGGGCCACTCTGGGCACACATTTCCCAAGGTGATGCAAATGCAGGCTACTGTCCCCTCCCTGATTCTGCATGCTATTCTCCCATTAATGCCACCTGCCAATGACTTCTCTATACCAGCAGCAACATCATCATGTCTACACACAGGGTGACATTCACACCTCTCCACTCCTCTCACTCTTCCCTGAGGATAGGTCACCTCTTCCTGCTCTTGTGCCATAGGTGTTTGGGGACTGGGCTCCATGCCATGGTGTCCACTGAGGACCTGCTTCTTAGATCAGGCCTGGTCCTTTCAGAATGCAGATATGGCCACGCCCTGACTCCACTCATCAACCGCTGCTGCTGTTTGGGGTGTGTCTGCTGTCACCGTCCTGAGACCTCAGCCTGGTGGCCCCTCCGGACCAGCACAGAGCAAGGCAAAGGCCAGGCTCTGGATGAGAGCCAGAGGCGGACTCCTCACCTGGTCACTCACCGCACCTGCAGTGACTTCCCTTTGTCTCAGTGTCCCCTTCTGACAGCCGAGACCAGCGTAGTGGCTCCTCCCTCCCGCCTCTGCAGGCCAGGGCCGGCCTTGCCCCAGGGGACACCTGGGGTGTTCGGTGGCCAGCACCAGGGCCTCCTTTCTGAGTTCACAAAGCCCTAAGGGCCCATTCTAGAACGCGGGAGGGGCCTCCCAACGCGCCCCAGCGGGAGAGGGGCCCAGGCGGGACACCAGCCGCCTGGCAGAGGCGCGCGGAGGCACAGGGACCCTGTCCCTGCTAGTGGCACCACGCAGGGCCCAGGGCTGGCACCAGGACACCGTGCCACAGCCTGCTCGGGGCGCCCATGGCTCCCGCCCCGGTCCCCGCGCCTCACACGCTAGACCAGAAGCCCCAGCTGGGGCCACTCGGCACCCTGCAGCCCGTGCGCCCGAGGCTGGGCCCCTTGTGCCCGAGGCTGGGCCCCTTGCGCCGGCCCTGGTTCGTGTGCGACATCCTGGGCATCGTGTTCGCCGTGAGCACCTGGGTGCTGACCTTCGGCACCGCGTGGGTGACCACCCGCGAGCTGTTCCTGCCCGCGCGGGACCTGGCCTACAGCCTGGCCAACGGCTTGCTCTGCACCTGCAGGCCGCGCTGGGGCTGGCGGCGCACGCGCGGGCCATGCTCACCGACCCCGGCGCCGTGTCCCTGGGCCGCGCGCCGGGCAGCGCCCCCGAGGCCCGCTGCCTCCGGTGCTGCAGCGCCAAGCCGCCGCGCGCGCACCACTGCTGCGTGTGCGGGCGCTGCGTCCGCAAGATGCACCACCACTGCACCTGGGTCAACAACTGCGTGGGCGAGGACAACCAGAAGTACTTCGTGCTCTTCACGCTGTACATGGGGCTGGCCTCGCTGCACGTGCTGCTGCTGCTCGGCGTCCCTGTCATGCGCAGCCACGCGCGGGGCGAGTGGGACAGGCACAGCACCGTGTCCCCCCGCCGCTCCCTCATGTACCTCTTCCTGGTGGCCTTGATAGCGTTCCTCCTCAACTCCACGATGTTCGCCATGCAAATGTACTCCATCTGCACCGACAGGACCCTCATGGAGCGGCTGCAGAGGGACCGCGGGCTGCCACGCAAAGGGTCCCCGTGGTCCAGCTTGAAGGCCGTGTTTGGCCACCGTGTCTCCCTGGCCTGGCTCAGCCCCTTTGCCTCCCCGGAGCCTCAGAGAGTCGATGAGCACCACTGGGTGGTCTGAGGGTGGCTGGAGCCGGGGCCAGAGCCCTTAGGGCACCGCCTGTCAGTCACTCGGAGGCCGGGGGAAGAGGCCTAGCGACAGAGAGTAAGATCCCTGGCTCTCTTCTGAGCAGAAGAGCTGTGACCACTATTCAGAGAAGGTCCAAGGCAGAAGTGGAACCTGCTGCCCCTTTTTGGCCTGTAATGTGGAGAGCCATCAAATGCACACAGCTATGAATAAAGTACCGTGGATTTGTGGCCACCCTGCTCACGCTGAAGTAATTGCCTGCCAGCCACCACCCTGTGGTGAGCCGGGCCTCTCTGCCCTGTCCAGCTCAGGAGCCCTACTGTCCCGGGCATCAGCTTGTGTCACCTGTTGGATTTGCTGAGCCAATATTTCACTTAGGGCTTTTGCTCCCCGGGTGGCCATGAGGTGGCCCATCTGTTTGCTTCATCCTGTGGGCCTCCCCTGGTGTGTCTCACTCCAGGTCATGCCAGCCGCTGGAAGTGGGGGGTCTGTGGTTCTTTCCCACTGTTTTCTGGGCACGCTGGGCAAGACTGCCTCGGATGTTCCTTGGGAATGTTGGTGGATCTCAGGCAAAAAATAACTGTTTGGTTTTGAGGTAGCTGGAGATCCCCGTGTGGTTGTCAGAAATACAAGAGGCCCCAGGACCTTCCTGGGTCCCCCATGACAAGGCCTTGCCTGCTGGCACCTGCCTGGTGGACACTTCAGGTCCCACCACAGAGCACGCGTGTGCACGTGGGTTTGTGTGTACACCACACGGCCATTGTGTAGAGGGGCCACCTGTCCCTTCCCCTGACTCAGCAGCAGCTGACGTTCCCGGTCGCCCTCGGTTCCTACCAGGATGCTGTGCGTGGAACTGTCCCCGCGCATCTTCTGAGGCTGCCTTCCTCAACACAACAGAATGCCTCGAGATCCACTGGAATGTTGCCCACGTGAAAAGCCGATTCCTTTGATTGTGGGTAGTCAGTGGGGTGTGTTCTGCAATTGGTTTGGCCATTTGCCCATTGAAGGGCGTTGGGTTCTTCCCGTCGGGGTTATTTTAGGTAAAGCTGCTCTGAACGTGTGTGTAAAGGCTTCGGCTGCTCTGGGGTCAATGCCCAGGTGCGTCCCCTGGTCCCAGCGTATCACACGTCCAGTCCCTCACCTTTCACGTCCCACCGCAGGGGGAGGGGGCTGTTTCCTGTGCACCCTCTTGTGTGCTTTTGTTGTTACCCCTTTATTTTAGCCATTCCCCCGGGGTTGAGGGTGTCTCTCCCACAGCCACCTGTGCCAGGTCGGGGCAGGCTGCAGACAGACCGAGGAAAGTGCCTGGAGACAGCACGGGGCCCGGGGCTTGCTGGGGACGCTGACCAGAGAGCAGGACTGCCCGAGAAGGGCTCAGTGGCCACGAGTGACAGCAGCACCTCGTCCCTCATGGTGTTCTGTCCTGTGGTGGCCACTGGACCAGTGACGCGTGCCCTTTGCAGGGTGCCCTGCGTGCTGCGCCTGTCCCCACACAGACAGGGTCCTGTACCGAGGCTGTCACTGTGGTGGCTTAGTGTGCTGCTCTGCCCAGCGTCCCAGAGCAGCCGTCCCAGCTCAGGGGCAAGAAAGGCGCTTCCCACAGAGAACAGGGCGGCCCTCGTTCCCCGTGTGCCCGAGAGCAGCGACCTCCAGGTGCTGTGTCCACACCCTCTGCCCAGGCCTCTCTCTGCCCCCTTGACTGGCCAGGATGGGGGGGGGACAGGGCGTTCAGGGACGACACCAAGGCCGCGCCTGCACGTGGTTGACGTGCACCTCCTTGCTGACTCACGGTGCCGCCCTTCACACGCTGCTGGCCGTGCCCCCTGCTCAGCCAGGTGCCTTCCGGGAGCTTCCGCCAGTGGTTTGGTTTCAGCCTTGTTGGGTCCTGTGTGGCTCCCCCTTCCTCCCGTCTGTGGCCTTGTCCCCTCCACACAAGAGCTTCATTCTGATGAGGCCCAGTTTGCAGGGTTTTGCTTTTGCGGATGATGCCTTGGGTGTCCAGCGAAGAACGGCGTCTGGCCCCAGCTCCCAAGGTTCTGTCCTGTCTTCCACGCACCTCAGCTCATGTCTTCTCTCCCACCCGGCGTCCACTCCCAGTTCTCCACACGAGGCTCCAGGCTCAGGTCCAGCTCCTGACCCGTCCAGTTGCTGTAGCACTGTGTGTTCAGAGGTGGTCACTCTCCCCTGGCCGGTGTCCCGGGTTCTCCCGTGCACAGTGGACCTGCGTGCCCGTCCTGACGGATGCCGAGGGGTCTTGAGTGTCTCTGCTATTTCGCGAGCCTTGACACCAGGTGAGTGACCTCCCACTGTTTTCCAAGATTGCAACCATTTTACATCTGGGCCTTTTCGTTATCAATCATTTTTTATTTTTTATTCTAGCGTGATAGTTATGAGAGTAGTTGGGTTCATTTTTTTAAGTTTATGAACAGAAAAATATTTAAAACATTATTTGCATATAAATGCATCAATTTACAAAATAAAAATCATAATGCAATCCAAACTGGCTTTATCCTGCATGTGTAAAACCCATTTATTATAGTAAATACAAGGGTAGGTTTTAACTTTCAATTCCATTCAGAACAAACATGTGGGGTGGCATAGAGAATGCTGGGGAGAAATCACATCATTTTGGTTCTTGGTTTAGCTTTGTCTCTTATAAACCTAATCTAGGTCCTAATTTCACATTAATCCTGCCTATCCAAGGACATGGGAGGTGTTCCCATCCTCTGAGGGCTTCTTTGGTTTCTTTCTTGGGTGTTTTATAATTTTCATTGTACAGTTCTTTCACCTCCTTGGTTAGGTCAATGCCCTTTTCCCTGAGGTTTTTGTGAATGGGACGGTTTTCCTTTCTCAGCAGAATTGCTGTGGGGTAAGGAGAGCTCCGTCTGTGAGTGCTCTCTAGTAGCCTGCTGCTTGCTAAACCATGTAGATGCTCTAGAAGGTTCTGGATATGGGTCATGTCATCAGTGAACAGACAGTTTGACTTCCTTTCCTGCTTGTACTCCTGTAATTTCCCTCTCTTGCCTGATGGTAGAGTTTCAAGAACTGTGTTCAGTAGGAGCAGTAAAACTGGACAGCCTTGTCTTGTTCCTGATTTTACCAAAAAGAATGGTCTGGTCTTTCTCCATTCAGTCTGATGTTGGCTTGAGCTGCCCTAGGTCGTCCTCATAGGGGGAAGGTCGGGTCTGTCTCGTTTCTTCAGTGTTTTTAACATGAGTGTGTTGGGGTTTGTCAGGGCCTTTTCTGTACCACTGAGGTCCTTGTTCTTAACTCAGTTGACGTGGTGGATCACTGCCGGGGTTGGAAAGGTGTGCTGATTCTTGATGCGTTTTGGATGCAGTTTTCCACTGTCTGGGTACATCTTCACCAGGGATATTGTCTACAGTGTCTTTCCTTGGTCTGTCATTTCTGATCTGGGTATGAGGTCTACACTGGCTTCATAGAACATTTTGGTATTGTTGCTCCCTTTCAATTCCATGAAACAATTTGAGATAGACCTGGGTTAGTTCTTCTTTAAGTTCTGGCAGAACTCAGCGGAGAAGCCATCAGGTCCTGGCTTTTCTCTGTTGGAAGTCTTTCAATTGCTGTTTCAATTCATTACTTTCCTTGTCTGCTTAGGCTTTCTGTATCTTCCTGGTTCAATCCGGGCAGGTCATACGTGTCTAGAAATCTGTCACTACGTTCTAGATTCTCCAGGTTATTGGAGTATAAATTTTCAAAATAGTTTCTAATGTTCCTCTAGATTTCAGAAGCATCTCTGGTGATATCTCCTTTTTCACATCTGATTTTATTTTGGGGGGGGGGGGTCTTCTCTCTCTCCCTCCTTTGGTTAGTTTGGCCAAGGATTCATCAATCTTATTTATCTTTTTGAAAAACCAACTCTTTTTTACATTGATCCTCTGTGTTGCTTTTCCTTAAGTCTCAACTTCATCAATTTCAGCTCTGATCTTTATTATTTCCTGTCTTTTGGAATCCGTTGGGTCTTTCTTTTCTGAGACCTGAAGGTGGAGCATCACTTATTTATTTGGAATCTGTTTTTTAACGGAGACACTCAGTGCTGTGAACTGTCCTCTGAGAGCTGCTTTCACACTGTCCTGGAGACTTTGATAGGTTCTGTCTCGGTTCTTCTTTGTTTCTAGAATTTTCTCTTATTTCTTCTATGATCCATTCTTCCTTTAAAATAGTATTGTTCAGTCTCCACGTGGGTATGTGTTTTCTGTTATTTTTCTTGCTGTGGATCTTGAGTTTCATTCCATTATGACCCAAAAGGATGCAGAGGATCATATATGTATTTTGCATTTGTGAGACCTACATTGCAACCTGGAATGTGGTTGATTTTGGAAACAGTTCCATGAGCTGCTGAGAAGATAGTGAGTCCAGAAGTTTTGGAGTGAAATCTTCTGTACATAACTTTTAGGCCTCTTTGATTCACAGCATTATTTAGGTTGAAAATATCGGTGACGATTCTGTGTTTGGTGACCTGTCTATTGGTGATCAGGGCTTGGAAAGCGCCCAGTGTCTGGGATTCATGTCAACAAGTGTTTTCCGGATAACTGGGTGCCGTGACATTTGGAGCACAGGTGTTCACTGCTGTCGTATGGTCTTGTTGTGTGTCCCCTTTGCCGGGATGCGGGGGTCTTCTCTGTCTTGCACTCTGCTGCGTCGGAGGTGGGAGGAGCTCTCCTGGCTGGTTTGCAGACTCCTCTTGTGTGCAAGGCCCTCTTCCTCCTGTCCCTCCTCTCCCTCAGGCAGTGGGTCTTTGCTATAAGATGGGATCTTGTCTTTTTGGTTCATTCTGCTGACCGAGGTCTTCTAACTGGGAGTTGAGGCCCTTTACATTCAGTGTGGTTGTGGGTCTGGTCTTGTTTGCTGCCATTTTTATTAATGTTCTGTTCTATTCCATCTTGACTCCTACTGAGTTGCCTGCTCTGCTGGCCGTCTTCCTCTGTTGGGAGCTTTGGGTTCGTTTTTTGGTTCCTCGATGTGAAGTTTTG